AGTTGTATCTCCAGTCTAATTCAGGTCTGTAAAAAATTAACACTATAGAACCAAAGAAAAGCTCCAACATTTTTGATAAAAAATACATATTGACATATAAATTTTTTTTTTCACCAAGCGTGGTGACATTAAAATGGAATTTCTTTTTTTTTTTGAAAGATTATTTATATAATTTGCAAATATTGTGTCTGTACAATTTATGTCATCAAGAATTTCATGTATATTCAGATTACCTTGCTGTAATAATGATGATGATGATGATGATGATGATGATGATGATGACGATGAGGAGGAGGAAGAAGAAGAAAAAAGAAAAAAATATAACTTTGGTTTTTCAGAACTTTATTTGTTATTCTTCTACATTATTATTATGATTTGAGTTTAAACAAGCCAGAACATTTTTGGAGACTTTTTTTTGGCAAGTATTTTGTTTTCATTGTGTTATGTAGTTGAACTGAAGACATTTTAGCATAAAATAAAGTTAAAATCACTTTTTTTATTTAACTTTATTCTACCACTAGAGTGATGGACAAAAACATAAATAATAATTTTGTTACAATTTCATTGCCTCTTTTTGATCAAGGAAAGAAGCTTTGAATTTAAAATTTTTCTCTATTAAGAAAGTTATTTGTCTTCTTTTGGCTTTTCTCTCTTCAGGGGTCTCCACAGTGAGTCATCCTCCTCCACCTCATTCTGTCCTCTGCATCCTCTGTCCTCACTCCAACTGCCTCCATGTCCTCTCTAACTGCATCCATATATCTCCTCTTTGTCTTTTTCCTGGCAGCTGCATTTCTAACATCCTTCAACCAGTATACCAACTGTCCCTCCTCTGGACATGTCCAAACCATTTCAGTCTGGTCTCTCTAACTATCTCCCAGTTATTCAACCTGTGCTGTACCTCTAATGATCTCATGCCTAATCTTATCCATCATTGTCACTCCTAAGGAGAACCTCAACATCTTCATTTCTGCCACTTCCAGTTCTTTATCCTGTCTTTTTGTCAATGCCACTGTCTCCAAACCATAAAATATGGATGATCTCACAACTTTCTTGTAAACTTTTCCTTTGACCTTTGCTGACACTCTATTATCACAAATCACTCCTGAAACTTTTCTCCATCCACTCTATCCTGCCTGGACTCTCTTTTTCACCTCTTTACCACACTTCCCATTTTCCTGGACAGTGTACCCAAGTACTTGAAGTCCTGCACCTTTGTGACCTCTGCTCCTTGTAGCCTCACTGTTCCACTGGCCTCCCTCTCATTCACACATGTACTCTGTCTTACTACAGCTGATCTTCATTCCTCTTCTTTCAAGTGCATACCTCCACCTCTCTCTTCCACCTGCTTCCTGTTCTCACCACAGATCACGTCATCTGCAAACATCATCGTCCACAGAGATTCTTGCCTGACCTCATCTGTTAGTCGGTCCATCACCAGAGCAAACAAGAAGGGGCTCAGAGCTGATCCTTGATGCAATCCCACCTCCACCTTGAAGCTATCTGTCACTCCTACAGAACATCTCACCACTGTCCTGCTGTCCTCATACATGTCCTGTACCAGTCTAACATAGTTCTCTGCCACTCCAAATTTCTTCATACAATACCACACCTCCTCCCTCGGCACCCTGTCAAATGCTTTTTTTAAATCCACAAAGACACAATTGAGTTCTTTCTGACCCTCTCTGTACTTCTCTATCAACATCCTCAAAACAAAGATGGCATCTGTGGTGCTCTTTCTTGACATGAAACCATACTGCTGCTCACAATTTGTTACCTCTCATCTAAGTTTAACTTCCACAACTCTCTTCCAGATCTTCATTGTCTGTCTCATCATCTTAATTCCCCTGTAGTTGCTACAATTCTGTACATCACCCTTGTTCTTAAAAATGGGCACCAGCACACTTATTTTCTATTCCTCGTTCATTTTCTCATCCTCATATATGCCATTGATTATTTCAGTCAAAAACCTCACTGCCATCTCTCCAAGACATTTCCAAACCTTCACTGGTATGTCATCGGGTCCTACGGCTTTCTCCTTCTTAATTATTTTCAGAGCATTTCGAAACTTCACCCTCACTAATCTTTTTCACTTCCTGGTCCACAGTTTTGATGACATGTACTTTTCTTTCTCTTTCATTCATTTCATGTCTTCTTCTTCATTCATTAGCTCCTGAAATGTACTCCTTCCATCTTCCCATCACACTCCCCTTAAAACGTTACCATTTCTATCTTTAACAAGCCTATCCTGCTGCACATCCTTTCCAGCCTGATCCCTCTGTCTCACCAATCCGTACAAGTCCTTCTCACCCTCTTTAGTGTCCAGTCTCCCATACAACTCATCATACGCCTTCTGCTTTGCCTTATACCTCCCTCGTTTCTCTATATTGCATCTGCTTTTATTATTATCCACTTTCTTCTGTCCTCTCACTGTCATTTTTCTTTTTGGCGAACTTCTTTCTTTGAATAGCTTCCTATACTTCACTATTCCACCACCAGGTGTCCTTATAATTTTTTCTCTGTCTAGATGACATACCTGAAGCTCTCGACCATGACCTCTGTGGCTTTAAAAATCTGTTGGACTCCGGGCAAGGACTAATGCAGACATTTTCCTGTTTTTAGTTTACTACATTTGCCTTATAATCTAGCTGTTTTTGTTACTTTTTTTGCCATATTATTTGTAAAAATAAATAAATCTGTATGCCTTCTTATATTTGTCTATTGTTGTCGCTGTTGTCCATTGCTGTCATCATTCTTTGTTGAAATCAGGTCTTTCTTGTAAATGAGTCCTTGAGGCTCAATGCGATTTACCTGTCTAAATAAAGGTTGAATGAATACCAAGTACCTTACCTATCTCTCTGTACACCTGTAGTAGCCCAGTCATCTGGAGGCTCTTTCTTACCACCCAGTCTTTAACAGCTCCGCTCTGAACTCCTCGCAACATTCTTCCTTCCTCAGCTTCCACTATTTGGTCTTCTTTTCTGATTGTTCTCTTTCCCTCTTCTTCACAACTGTAGCCATTCTACATACATACATCTGATGCTGTCTGACCGCTCTCCCTTGTCACAACCTTACAGTCAGTCCCCATACTATATACTCCTGTTTCTAGGGCACTCTATATTCCTCCCTCTTTTGGAAACAAGTGTTGACTACAGCCATTTCCATTCGCTTGGCAAAATCCATCACAATCTGTCCTTCCTTTCTCTCATGATCTTCGACTAACAGTAGCACAATTGCTGCCGGCACCCTGTTTGTCAACAGCACCGGTGGCGGTTGTTGTTAACCTTGGCCTTGACCAATCCAGCAAGGTGTCGCTTAGATGAACCTGCTTATTAGTTTGGGCAAAAGTGTTTTACATCGGATGCCCTTCTTGACACAACCCTCACTATTTACCT